CTACTTCCCCCGGGAGGGCCCATCTGAACTTGTAGGATTATTGCCAAGTAGCCAAAAATTTGCCAGACAAGTCTCAAATGAGCAAGGGTATTGAAAGCAGTATGCTTTGATGGGAAAAACAAGTATATGTTTAAAGCAGTTTCACTTGTCATTGTTTGTTCCTTTCTTAATCATACAAGATCAGTTTGTGAACACTCAAGTTTTTATGCAAAAGCCATAAAATACATTTTGTTTTGAAAAAAGTTTGATTTGCTATAATTCACTCCCTTGTTCACAAACACAAGAAGTCATAATAGTAGGAAGACGGTAATTTTAGAAAGCATATCTCTAACAGAAACATCTAAAAACAAATGAATTTTCAGCGTGTCCAAAATAGAAGTTTAGATAGGCTATCTGCAGTGATCTAAAATTATTTTTACTTTCTCATTTTAATTCCAAAACTACCTTGCTTTTATATTTGGATGATAAACCTTTCTAAATTTCTAAGTTTTTAAAAAAAACACTTATTAGGCTTTTAATCTTTTTATAATGTAAAGAAGGAAAGATGGCAAAAACATAGCTCATCATTTCTGGGCTTAGATTATCCCAGTAGGTATATTAAAAAAAAAAAAAAGTAATACAGGTAGATGGTGAGAAAATTCAGAATGTTCAGAAACATACAGATTGAAAAGTAAAAGCCTTCATGCTGTCCTCTCCTCATTCCTATACACTCTCCCCAAAAAGTGATCACTTTTTCCTCCCAGCGGTTTTTTTTCTTAAAACATCAACTGGAAAGTCTGGAATTCATCCCTGAAAGCCTCACTCAGGTTCTACCATCTGTGAGAAGGCTCATGGCTAACTGGAAGCCTAGCCTCACAACCACTGGCAAGGCACCCCTGCAGTCCCCAGCAGCGGTGTGACACCACCTCTCGGTGTTCATTCCAGGCCTTCTATTTGCCCAAGGTCCGCCATATTGATTATCCCTTTTGACACTAATGAGGTCTGGAAGTAGGGAGAACAGCCATTACCAACAGCGCTTTATCTTTGAGCCAATGTTTCTGTAAGATAAATTCTTAGAAAAACTTCTCAAAGGGAATATTTAAATCTAATAAGTATTACCAAGTTGCCAACTGATAGTACACTGGAGTGCATTTCCCTCTCTCTCACAGTCTTCAACCATTTACTCTGTGGATGTGGAACTTTTCTGGTTTACTGTGCATTTTATTTAATTAGGAATGAGGCGGAACATCTTTTCCTGTATACTGGCCATTAAAAGGTTTGCTTTAGTGGATTGTTCCTGTCCGTTGTCTATTTCTGTTGATTTTCAATTTTCTTTATTTTTAAGAGTTCTTTATACTTTAGGTAAAATAATCCTTTATCATGTTTTATTCACTTAGGCACTATTTTAGGCTCTGGAGTTAGAACAGTAAACAAAGCAAATCCCTGCCTTTAAGGAGCTCCAATTCTAGTAGTGGGATACAGGAAAAAAAAAAAAAAAAAACAGTAAAATCTGTGAAAGCTGGAACCGGTTTAAGACGACAACCTGCCAGAGAAGGAAAACGCAAATCTTTTTCACTAATACAGAGTGACAGAGAAGTGGTAAGACTGTGCCCGGTCAGAGGCGGAAAACTTGCGAGACCCGGAAAAACAAGGCAGTCCAGTAGACTTCCAGCTGTGATGGGTGCTACAAAAAAAGAAGGCAGGGAAGAGAGGACAGCAGACGGCAACAGCAGAGAAAGAGAGAGGGAGGCGTGTGTGTGTGTGTGTGTGTGTGTGTGTGTGTGTGTGTGTGTGATGCTCTTCTACACGGAACAGTCAGGGAAGGTCTAAGAAGGTGGAGACTTGAGGAGACACCTGAGAGAAGGAAGGGAGGAAGCCTTGTAGAGATCTGGAAAGAACATTCCAAACGGCCAAAGGCCCCAGAGAGGGAAACCAGCTGGCCTGTTGAGAAGGAACGAGGAGGGGGCAGGCTAGAAGGGAATGACCGAGAGCAGTCAGGACGAGGTCAGCACTCTAGTGGGGGTCAGGGCCTGTAGGCGATTGTAGGCCATGGCAAAGGCGCCCTGATGATGCAACTGTTACGCGCTCGGCTGCTAACCAAAAGGGTGGTGGTTAGAACCTACCCAGCAGCTCCAGGGGAGAAAAGACCTGGCAATCTGTTCCTGTAAAGATTACAGCTTAGAAAACCCTACAGGGCAGTTCTACTCTGTCACATGAGGTTGCTATGAGTTGAAATGGACTGGAAAGCACCTAACACCACCAGGCCGTGGTTAAGGTCTTGGATTTTGTGCCATGTGAGATGGGAAGACACGGGAGGGCTCTCAACAGGGAAGTGACGCGATATGGCTGGGGTGGGGAGGGGAAGCAGAGACCAGCGACGAGACCTGGAGATAGTGCAGGTGTAAGACGATGCAGATACTTGGTGCAAGTCCTTTTTCCTTCTTTGACTTTATGGCTGTGCAGTTTATTCACTGTGTGAGGGCACCAGTGAGGAAGCAAGTCGGGGCTGAAATCCAGTCAAGCATAGTACGTTGTGAGGTACTGAACCCTTTTTCTAATGTGCACAAACGTGCTGTGTGAACCAGCGTTGGCACTGGAGGTAAGAGTTCAAGCTCTGATCGGATGTCTCAATACTAGTGTCATGGATTGAATTGTGTCTCCCAAAAATATGTCAACTTGGCTGGGTCATGATTCCCAGTATTGTATGCTAGTGTAATCTGATGTGATTTCCTTGTGTTGTAAACTCTATCACCATGATGAAGTTATATGGGATCTCTTTATGTGCTGTAAATTCTGTCACTGTAATGAGGTTATACTGATGAGGTTTACAAGATTAGATAGTGTCATAATCCAATCTCTTTTGCAGATATAAGAGTAGTGAGCAGAGACACATGGGAACCTCATACTACCTAGAAAGCAGTGTCAGGAGCAGAGCACGTCCTTTGGACCTGAGGTTCCTGCGCAGAGAAGCTCCCAGACCAAGGAAAGACTGATGTATTATAAGGACCTTTCTCCAGAGCCGACAGAGAAAGAAAGCCTTCTCCTGGAGCTGATGCCCTGAATTTGGACTTGTAGCCTACTGGACTGTGAGAGAATAAACTTCTCTTTGTAAAGCCATCCACTTGTGGTATTTCTGTTACAACAGCACTAGATGACTGAGACGACTAGTTACTGATTAATCTTATCTTTTCTCATACCAGTTTGGAACGACACCTTTATCCTATTAAATAGTCATAGCTTCTTGCGTCTTTGGTGGAACCAAAGGCCCCATAAATGTTAAAGTTTGGCACATAGATAAAAAAAAAAAAAAAGCACTAAGACTTCACTAGGAAGTCTAAATCTTAGGAGCCGGAATTGGAAGTAAATTTTGGCACACTAGAAAAAAATTAGTGCAGTTAGAGGAGACATTCCTCATTTTCAGATACAACAGAAAAGCAGCACTTCCTTGCTGTCTCTGCTTAAAGACATCAATAACAGTTGTGCTAACCCTCTGAAAGGCCTTCTTATTTACCTTGAAGTAATAGCTCAACCCAAGTCTAAAGTCCTATCTGCTGCTACAGGAAAACGATTTTATTTCTAGATTCAAGTCTGGCACTGGTTCGCGCCCATGACTTGTGTGGAAGGTTTCTAGCACAGCTGTCACGGGAGGAAGGCTCTAACCGTGGTGTGAAATGAGAGGACACGCAGACACTTGGTGAACAGGGAGGCGCTACATACATAGTCCGTGGTCTGTTTTCAGGCTTTTGTTTTTCTGCTTAGGCAAAGGGAAAACCTAAGACATCATAAGTCCTAAGTGGTCAGGTCTTGTTTTCTCCCCTGGATAAAAGAGAAAGGGTGGGGTGGTGGGCGGGGTGAGCAGATGGGCAGGTTCTCTAAAAAAGTAGCTTCCTCAGGTCTCCCCACCTCGCCTCAGAGCGCACTTTCCCAAACAAACAAAGCTTTATCTGTGTAGGGGTGGCTTGTCAGCCTCACTATCAAAAGCGGGATGACGAAGAATTCACTAGATGGTAGCTCAACCTGTGTTAAGAAAGAATCTAAATTTACCGCCCAGCCTCAGAGTACTGGACGGAGAAACAAGGTGAGCACAGAGGTAGGAGGGTTGCTGACATGAAAGGTACACAGACATAACCTTATATTATCAGCATAAGGAACAAACGGCGGAATGCTGGAAGAGCCGTATTTTTGGTTAAGAGCAGAATTTCTAAGTTGATCTATCTTTCAGAGCTAAGTCATGCTTCAGTGCTGCAACTACATATGCTTAAATATTTTTAGTTGAGACATACTTAGATTTTGCTTTCCAGCAATCTTAAGCAGTAACAACCAGAATAAAAAAAAAAAAAATCAGGCACCAGCATAAGAGGCATGTTAGGTAATTTTGCCAAGGTTCTGTTCATTGCCTTTTTCTACCAATTTTCTTCCCTATCTCTGAGATCAGGTATAATCCATGCTTCCATGAGTGTCCAGTACTTCACCTAGACCTGTTCTCTCCTGAATTATCCTGGACTTCACAGTTATTTCTGTACGCTAACCCTTTGCCTCCTCAAGACTTCCAAACAACAAAACCCTCTGGCCTCTAGTGTTCCTTCATTGACCCTTGTCCTCTCCAAGCCTTTCTGCACGTAACAGAAAGGCTGCTGAACCTATTCAAAACTTTTTCATTTCCTTCTTAACAGCCACATTGCTAATCAAGAAAGCTAGTGCCAGCAGCACCACCAGATTACGTAACAGACCAAGGGGCCTGGTGGATAAACGTGCAAACATGAAAATATGAGCCACATAAACAATCTGCCACTTGAAATGTGAGAAAATGTGGCCTTGTGTAAACCATTTTGCCTACTTTTTAATCTAGACCACTTACTGGAAGGTCAGGAACACCTAACGGAATGGTTGGCTGTCTTCTTATGATCCTATCGTAACACTTGTGAGCCCAGGATATATAAATTTCTATGGTAAAATACCTTCTTTGTCTGCACAAGCAAGCCATTTATTATCTCAGTTTACAAAAAGCAGATGAAATGTCAAAGCACAAATTTAACAAATACTATTTTATTATTCACAAAATACACGTGATCGCATGGGTATATATCACAAATTACAAGAGGGAAAAAGTACAGAGAAAAATGGAGACAAATGTGTTAAATGAAAAGGTACCCAGTCATGTGGAGTCCATTCATACAAAACTGTTCTTTGTTACAAAGTTAGACCGGGCCAAGAGTAGGTACATTGCTGCGTCAGAAAAGAGTCAGTTACTCAGAAACATGCCTATACCAAAAAGTAGAGAAGTGTTGGCAGTGTATCTAAATGGGTCCTAAATTAAACAACAGCATACACGCATCTGGCGAGCCACGACTCAGCCATGTGTTTTAGGCAGGAACCTGTGGAAGACTTGCCTGCCTATCCTGTTGGAAGAGCAAAGCTCCGGGACTGATTAACTTCCCAACCTTCCATAAGGCTTTGTTCAGGTGACTCTGGAATACCGTGTCAAACAGCCCATTCATTTCTGCTGCAAGCTCCCTTAGAACAGTCACTGTGGACTCATCACTGGCATTCAGAATCCGCACAAAGAATTTATTCCACAATTCACCACCTTTCAGCCTAAAAACATAGAAAACCATTTCCATCAAGATGAGGCATGTGAAAGTTAGAATTTTCTTTGCGTTTAGCTCGGCGGTACATTTATGCACCAGGATGATTTCTATTAACACTTAAAGGGAGAAGCTCCCCAAAGAAGTGATCAGTAGAGACAATGCTAGGGTTAGATATCACTGAAGCAGTCCTTTGACAGCCCAGGGAGGAACAGCCTTAACACACGGCATGCAAAGGGAAGCGAGTCTCTGGTCGGCACCTATAAATGTCCTACGTCCTTAGGGGGAGCCCTTTTCCAGCCCTTCTCCTCTACAAACAGAAGAAGAATGAATTCCGTTTCCTCTCCTCTCACCTTCCGAGAGCTCGGGCCATTAAAAAGACTACAGCCCCCCCCCGCCCACCCGGGGTTCATCATCTTCACCATCCCCTGAGAACCCCAAGCCTGGCTGAAGTGACCGCTGCTTAAATCTACAGTGGTCGCACCTTTGTGCGTTTATTGTTTGTAATCAGAGAACCTTCTATTATTATATAAGGCAGGGCTGTTAGAAACCCCAAGTGACCCCACCAGCTTGAGACAACTCAATCGGTCCTACGTGTCTTGTATTGTATTTCCAGCCTATTTTAGAAGTACATGACAGAGACAATAGGACTGGCCAAACTGCTGGGAGGGGGGAAGAGAAGGGAAGGGTATTCAATCTTCAACACCGATTTTTTTTTTTTAACCGAAGACTGTATCAATAAATGATACACTGGTAAGCTTCTGTGGGGAGGTTATATTAGCTACGATAAGCTGAAGTGGAGCACCGCTATTGAATAACTTTTATGAGCAGACCTGAGGGAGTACTGAGGTTCTGAGACCCAGCAGCTCTTATTAAGAGATCATTTACTTCTTCACCGAGGAGATCCAGTTCTCTGATTTGGTTCTATATACTCATTAAATAAATAATAGCCTGAAATTAATGTACAATTAAAGAATTTAATTCCCTTCGAGAGATACTTACTAACTTTTGGGAACAAAAGCTACTAAAAAGGGTTTTAGACTAATAGCAATTGGTTAGAAAATTATTCTCACAGAATGCTTGTATTAACACTTCTAAACCGAGAGGCTTCCATGCTACACTATGGTTGCAGTCTGTGGGATACACCTATGTCCAGAATGATGTCCTGAGGTTTGATTGGTTGAGTCTTATTTTTAATTAGCAGTTCCTTTAGTCTGCACCAGACATCTCACTAATACTCTGAAGAGCTGGCTGAGATTACTGAAACCCTGACACTGGATGAAGACAACTGAGGCTGCCTGAGGAGAGGGAACGCCCAAGAGAAAAAGAGAATGACCTGGATAGGCGAAGGCCCTGGAGTCACCAGTACTTACTCGGAAATATTCTGGCTAAGTTTCCAGAGGGACCCGTCCCAGAAGACCTGTAGGTGTTCCTTGAACAACAGTAAATGTGCTAAATCTGCTATACCAAACAGGTCTACCTGAAATCACAAAAAGCACCATCAGCAAGAACAATTCTCTGCTGCTAACACGGCAGCCTGTCTATGCAGGAAGTCTATATTAGGACGGACGTTTCAGGGGGCTGTTCCTTATTCTTACAGTAAAGGGAGAAGCTCCCCAAAGAAGTGATCAATAGAGACAATGCTAGGAATTATCTTTAAGAAAAAAGATGACAAAAATATCTGGACTGCCAAATTCAAATTTATGAATCTACTGAATTTGCATGGACTCCAGTGATCTAAATGTGGTCCACATGACTAGTCAGGTTCATGCTACATGATCGATCAGCAAATGTCATACGTCCAGAGCTGAGTCAGAGGGGATTTTTGCATATCACGCCACGGTACAAAACACTTTACATTTGTTCTTCCCATAAGGCCATTGCCATTGATTGATTCCGACTCACAGTGACTGTACAGGACAGAGCAGAACTGCCCCGTACGGTTTCCAAGGCTGTGATCCTTACGGAAGCAGACTGCCACGTCTTTTCTCCCGTGGAGCAGCGGGTGGATTCTAACCACCAACCTTTTGGTTGGCAGCCAAGCACTTAGCCACTGGGCCAGCAGGCTCCGTCATGAGTCCTCAGGCTTTTACACACACGATTTCATTTCATCCTCACACAAGTTCTGACATGCACAACGCAGAGGCTGCTATCCTTGTTTTACAGAAAAGATCACAGAAACGACTTATCAAAGATCACGGGGACGGTAAGCGGTAGAAAGGGGCCTGGCACTTAGGTGACTGAGTCAGCCATCTGTCTGCACACGTATGTGTGTATTCTTCAGCGCTGTGTCGGAAAAATGGTACATTTTGCTTGACTTGGTGATATGTGGAAACTAGGTCATCTACTCCAGGCGAGACAGCAGCAGGAAACACGAGCTTTCCTAGCGGATGCAGATGAGGAAGGCCGTAGGAAACCCCTCTGTGTCTGCCCGGCATTGTCTTACACTCACCTGGTAGGGAGAAGAACAGGTGGCCAGCATCTTCTGTCCTTCCAGGATCTGCACTGTCCGAAAGCCACTGAGGGCAAACACATCTTGCTGAACGCTAAGGTCAACACTGTAGGAAAAGTCCACTATCTTCAAAGCTTGATTCTTCTTATTAAAATCATAGGGATCGTGGATCCTGAGCCCAGATTTAAGAGAAAGAGAAAATAAAAATAGGCCATGAAAAGAAGCTGCATAGCTGGTCTTAAAAAAAAAAAAAGAAAAAGGTACTGCAGGTGTGTCTCAGCTATGCCAACAGCGCCCTCCGGTGGTTCGTTCTGAAAATGCACCTGTAAGAGCAGTGGCAGTGCCCACCCGAGCAGTCATGTCAGGATGAGTTGGGTGACAGCAAGTATATGTGAACCACAGGGCACGGCCACCACAGAACATTTATCAGGCCCTCATGTTATACAGAGTAAGAACCGGAAGTAGACTGCAGAACTCCACCCTGTACTTACAGATTAACACATACAATGATTTATATACACTGACGAGAATTCTAATACAGAAAAGGAAGCTTTGACAAGTGTGATTGTCTTTCTTGTTTACTATTACAGACTAGGCTTGCCAAGTATCATTTACAGCCTTTCCAAAATTTAACTGAAAATAAACAAGGCTGTTTTTGGTAAAGTGCCATTTTTATTGTAAAATTACCTGCTTCTGTTAAGATAGCACCATATTCTATCTTAAATTATATGTAATCCCAATCTTTATTTCTTATAAAAAAACAAAAGCATTACAACACTAATTCATTACCAATTAATTATATTTTTCTTGGGCTTATCTATTCCAGGCAACAAAGCTACTCTTTATTAGGAGTTATCTATCTGGGAGAAAAGAACAGAAGACACAGGAGCTACCTGTCTGGGAGAAAAGAACAGATAGTTTCCATGTGCTCCCTTTTCTCTCTGCTTTTCTTGACCGGTTCTCTCAAACCACTGATGTATATCGGCGGCAAAGCCCACGCTCCTCAATACAGAGACTGACCAATCCAACCACAAGCCTCTACAGCACAGAATGATGTGTTTTACTTTAAAATTCACAATTGTTCCCATTTTCCTTGGCACGAGATCTTTTTTTTTGACCACCATAAAACTATAATTCCCAAATATTTTTAAAATTTGGGAGAGGTAGGAAAAATGTTTCTTAAATTAAAAAAAACTTGGAAAGTCTCCAAACCCTCTAGTCGGCCACTAAGTGGGCAAGACATTCCACTTTTTTGGATCTTAATTTCCTTACAAATGATATGTAGAAATTGAACTAAATGATTTTAAAAGGCTTTTAATTCCTCGTGAGTCTGTATGAAATTTCCTGTGAGTCTCAAAGTAAAAGACATGTCCCTTTAACGCTATGTGCTTTCCTAGAGACCCCTGGCCGCTGAGAGAGATCTAAGCAGAGAGCAAAAGCCCAATCCTAAAAAGGCTTAGAAAATCCCTCTGCTTACAATTTGAGAACGCTGGCACTACCTTCTGCACTTTCAGTGATATGAAAGGGGGTGAAAAGAAAAACTACACCAGAGGTTCTCACATTTGAAACACATGGGGAGATTTTTGGTGGTCACAATTGCTGGCGGAAATGTTACTTGCATTTCATGGAAGGGGAGTCGGGGAAGAGGCTGGGGATCTAAAAGACCCTGCAATGGCTAAACAGACCTACACAAAGAACTGCCTCATTCAAAATACCTACAGGTGCCCAGGATGAGAAATGCTGCTACTAACGCCTGGGACCTCCAGGACTCTGCCATCCAAGGAAAAAAGGTGAGACTCTCTACTTAGGTTATAAATGCAGAAATACATTGAGGGTTCTCTAAATTATATGCCAGCTATAATCCAGAGTCTAATTCAGTCTTCCTTTACAGATTAAGTATTAAGGGGAAACATAAAGAATTATTCTAGCTATTAGTGTATGTTAATGACCTCAGGGAAAAATGTACTGTTTACCCAAGGCACAAAGCGTCTTTAAACTAGGCTGCTTTACTCAAGTACCATGAGACCAGTGATCACGAAAAAAGTGCGCTGGTCCTCCAGTCCTTTCCACAAAGCCAAAATCTTGGACCATCTTTGCCTTGTACATTCCTTGACACTTTCTATATTTTCTCAGTTCTTAATATTTTGGCTTCATTTCTTATTTCCTGCTCTGTGCCCACCTCTGGAACCTGATGGCCAAACTGGGTTTAATCGCACAGTAAGCCCCTTCTCTTGGCACAGTCTGCATTTGCCCTCTGGTTTTACCCACTTGTCCTGGCAACCACCTCAGTGTGGCCTGTCCCAAGCTTTGGTCCCTGAACCTGAACAGTGCCTCAGTTCTGCCAGCATCCTCGCTAGGCACGCTCTGGGCCCACTCAAAGGATCAGACAAGCTACTTCACGTTCTTCAGAGAAATCTGTATCTCTTCTTGACAGAAATCATCCCCGTACTCAGTGGTTAATTCCTTTACCTGAGATAACGTGTTTCCTCAATGTCTTTTTTTCCTTTGAATTCTTTTAAATTATTCCCAATCATTATTGACTGTTAGACAGCAAATATTCTCTTAACATAATGTGTTCAGCAATACGGCATTTATCAAACAGCATAGTAAAAACTGCAACTATACATGTTTCTGGGGAAAGCTGACAGAATTAGAAGAGAATGAACAGGACTAACCTGTTTCTAAGAATCAGAGTCCTTGGACTCAAGTCACCATGGACTATTTCTGCTTCGTGCAGCTTCTCCACTTTTGTCAAAAGGTTAGAAATAATCAAGACTGTCACTTCATGGGTAATCAATTCACTGTGTCGGAGAAGATCCTGGAATGGGAAGATAGGAAGCTCACTATTTTTGAGGTTGGGTGGAGCGCACACTAGTGTATGTTTTATTGTTATTTTTAAAACTGTTCATATAAACCATATACACTCTTTTAGTATGTATGTTCCACATGAAAATTAAAGAGGAGACAACAAACACTTCCGTGCCTATTCTCTCGTATGCGCAACACCCTGACTAACTGCTGCTCTTCTCTTCCTCACTGCTCTCCACTGGAAGGTAGGCTCCCTGTGGCGAGCTCTGTGCCCCAGGTTCAGCAGCACTACAATCCCCAATAAGATTTTCTGTAAGACTTTTTTTTTTTTAATTTGAAAATATTGATCAGTTACTATTGAATCTATAAACTCTTATGGGGGGATACTGTGTGCAGTCTGTAGAATGTTTTGTTGCGCAAAGTAATTATTAATATCAAATAGGCTGGAACCCAGTGACCTTATCTAAATCCCCATTTTCCCAAACAGAAGCTGAAGCCTAGACTGACAAAGTGACTTGTTTGAAGTGGCAGCACTAAATAAACAGTAGAGCCAAGTCCCCAAAACCCCCCTCTTCACACATAATCCGACACCCTTTATTTCTACAACTCCTTCCACTTTCTTTGTTTTCCCCTCAGGTCATTTTTTTCCCTAAATTTTATTTATTTTGTTGTTGTTGCGAATATACACAGCAGAACATACACCAATTCAACATTTTCCACATGTACAATTTAGTGACATTGATTACATTCTTCCAGTTGGGCAACCCTTCTCACCCTCCTTTTCTGAGCTATTCCCCCCTCCTTAACATAAATTCACTGCACCCTAAGGTTCCCATCTAACCTTTCCAGTTGCTATTGTCAATTTTTTCACATACAGATAGTTCTTAAAACAGCATAATGCTCAAGGCAGACCTTTTCTTACTAGTTAAGCTAAACTTTTGTTCAGTTTTAAGATGACTTCAGGGTTTTTTGTAAGAATTTAATGAGATAGTGGATGAAGAGCATCAAGGAATGGGTCTGACCCACAACAGATGCTCTATAAACTCATTTCAACCATTTTAGAAAATTCGCCTCACTATCAAAATCAACACCAAAATCTTTTTAAGAACATACCAAAGAATAAAATTGTGACTAAATGTTAAAAATACTCTAGTGTGGGCAGCACAGATAAGCCAAGAGTAGCCAGGCCACTGGTTCACGGCAGCTCACTGCACACCACTCTCTGCTTTTGTCAAGGTTGAAAAAGTGACATGTCAAAAAGGAAAGAAACTCAGAAAGGCCCTTGGTCAAAATAACTTGGGAAAAGAAAATGATCAAGGCTTTTAATTTACAACTTAATTGGTCTATTTCTAGAAGATCCACAGACATTTTCTAATAAATTCTTTTGCTAAATAAAGCGCAAATCTCTCTGTTTGAGGACTTGAAATGATAAGTTTTTAGTATCATTGCAAACCTGAAGGGTGAAGCAGTTTATATATTGATGCCAAACAATACAGCCATCTTGGTATTGATACGAGCTGCACGAACGATCACACGCCTCATTTAAACGTTCCTGTAACTTGAGGTTGATATAAAAGTCCCACGGGACAGGCTGAGAAGATACCTGTAAGATGTTATATTTAAAAAAGTAAGAGTAATTAGAATCTATGTTTATGTTTAAAAGACTGAAAACCCCAGCCCTACTGATACGCCAACAGAAATAATAGTAAAGGGATGTTTTAAAAGGTATACATCTATAATAAAGAAGAGAATACAATAGCAACACAATTCTGGAAGTCTAAAACAGAATAATAGGAGATAATAATCCACTTGGAAGTCCCAAGGGAAGCTGGCTCTAGCAATGGAGACAGCTGAGGAGCAACCAGTTTTTTATTACAAGATCATTTTCCTGTAGTATATTAATTGGCAGCTCCAATTGCCCCTGGAAGTGGGTGAGGGTGGAGCTAAAGCAGGCGTGGCTGAGCACGTTTAAGAGGATGTCAGACTCCAGATTCCCGCTCCTGCTCTACGTAGCCCAGCCCAGCAACTGCCTCTCTCCCATTCCAGAAGACTGGAAATTTATTCCCTAGAGTATTCCCTAAAGAGTATAAAACAGAGGGGCTCTGGACTAGAAGATATCAGCCACCACTGAGGTGAAATACTATACGGAAAACAAGAGAAAATTTATACATCAAACGTTAAAATGCAACTCGCCCCCAGCCCTGCCCTAGACTAATTTCCCCACTCAGCTTTCTGCAAGCTAGCAGCCCAGCTTATGTGCTCCCAGCAGGAAATTAGAAGTCTTCTGACTAAAGACTGCCAGAGGTAAAGGGTGGGAGCTCCGATAAAACATCCAGGTGAGATCATCTTACAGGAAGGGCCACAGCCACCAAGGCCCACTCATAAACACAGAGCTGTTACTTAGCCTTCTAGCGTCCCACACCTAAACATGAGGAGAGAGCCCAAGACTCAAAGAACGCCTCTAACGTGAGAGGGCAAAACGACAAAACAACTCGGGGAAAACAGATGGTGCAGGGAGAAAGGATTTTTAAAGCATCATTAAGATCCTCAGAGAGACGAAGAATATTCCATCTTTGAAATGAGTATCAGAATGCTAGAAAGAAGAACAGAATGCTACAAAGAACATTCTGGGAATAAAAAAGAGTTCTTGCAAATTAAATACATGATGACAGAAATGAAAAACACAGTAAACAGAATGAAAACAAAGTTAAGAAAACTTTCTAGAAAATACAGCAAAAAGACAAAGACATAGAGACTAGGAGAAAAAAGGTAAGAATTTTAGAGGATCTGTCCAGAGACCCTACATGCTAATAAAAGGAATTCTAGAATGAGAGGAAAGAGAAAATCAAAGGGAAGAAATGATTTTTTTTTTTAAAAAAAAAAAGAAAATCTGTCAGAACTAAAGGAGTTTGCAGACTTAAATGGCCAATGAGTGCCCAGCACACGGATGTGCAACAGGCTCATACCTAGGCATGTAATTGTAAAGTTTCAAAATACTGGGGACAAAGATAAAATCCTACAAGGACCCAGAGAGAAGGAAAAATAGTTTCACACAAAGGTTCAAGAATCAGAATGGCAAAAGACTCAAAAGCATCATCAGACAATAGAGCTCATCTTCAAAATTCTAAGAAAAAAATAGTTTTGAACCTAGAATTCTATTTCCAGCCAAACTATCAACCAAGTAGGAATATAGAATAAGGAATTTTCTGACATGCAAGGTCTGGGATTACACCAAAAAAGAGGAAAAAATGGGATCCAGGAAACTGTGCATCCAACATAAGAAAAAGTTAAAGTGAATCCCTCGGATAATGGAGAAAGGAAACTTCAATGTGACATTGTGTGTGTGTGTCAAGCTACAGGGTAACTTCTCCAGATTGGAGCAGACCAGAAAATTTCAGGAGCTATTTCCTCAAAAAGATAAAACTGATAGAATACTTAATATGTATGAACATATTAAGAAATTTACACAACAGCTTTTCGATATCTGATCCTGGCCTGTAACACTGACTGATCTCTTTGTGGCTCACTATTAAAAGGATCTGAAGGTACCCTACAGCCACAGCTACAGCTTAAAACATAAAAAAAAAAAAAAAAAATCAACTGCCATCAACCATGAGTTACTCCTTAAACCCACAATATTTAGAAGGTAGTTGAAATGACAAAACATGGGTCCCACCTTTATTATGGTTAATTCTGCAGAGTTTCTTGGTGCCACCCAGAATAATTTGTAATCTTCACAAATTAGGTATTCTTCTTTAATGTAATAATCCTCATTACCTGTTGAGAAGATTTGATTGATTCCATTTAAAAATCATTGAGAAAATTTATATACCCCGAGCCTTTACCTCCTGGTTTAAGGGCTAGAGGCACTGTTATATTTGCTAGTTAGTAGCATCTAGAATACTTTTCAAAATCCTTTATTAAAACTGAAAGAGGGAAACACATAATTCCTATTGTTAATGGGACACTGTACTTATCAACATGTCAACTTCTATAAAGGTAGTCCCCAATTTATGACATACTCCAGATTCAACGAACTGTACTTATGACAGTCTCTTTTTGAGGGGAGGTTACAGCTTATTAGTAATACATACTACCTACAATGGTACAGTGTGTAATTTGCTGATGTTATAATTCTCAGATGTTCACTTGCAAAGGTTCAATTTTATGATTTACTGTTCAAAACACTGCCGTATAGATTTCGTTTTCTAAACTAAATCAGGGGTTTCAGATGCTTGAAAGCGTGGACCCAAACACTGATCGCTTTGCTAAAGTCGACAAGCAGATGCAGGAAGCAAGGAAATGTTACCATGAAATATATGAAGAAAAAAAGAAAAGGGCCACACAGACAACTCTCACTAATTTTCTTACAGGAAATGCCACCCCCATTCCCAAGGATAATCCAGATGATCCAGAACTTTCCACAAGTGACATTACTACCACAACGGACAAAATGCCAACACAGTCGAACTCTTTTTCATTATCAGAGCAAGTTTCTATGATTTGTGTGTGTGTGTTTTTAATGTACATGTATTAAACCCACCACTCGTCTGTCAGTTTGTCATACTGTGGGGGCTTGCGTGTTGCTGTGATGCTGGGTCACCCATGGCGGACAGCTGAGCTTCCAGACTCAGACAGACTAGCAAAAAGGACCCAGCAGTCTACTTCTGAAAAGAATCAGTCAGTGAAAACCTTATGGATAGCAGCAGAACACTGTCTGATATAGTGCTGGAAGACGAGCCCCTCAGGTTGGAAGGCGCTCAGAGTACGACCGGGGAAGAGCTGCCTCCTCACGGTACAGTTAGTCTTAATGATGTGGATGGGACCCTCATCTGCTGATGTGGCACGACTCAAAACAAGAAGAAACAGCTGCAAACATCCATTAATAACTGGAATGTGGAATGTACAAAGTATGAATTTAGAAAATTGTACGTTGTCAAAAATGAAATGGAATGCTTGAAGATCCATATCCTAGGCATTAGGGAGCTGAAATGGACTGGTACTGGCCATTTTGAATCCGACAGTCATATGGTCTACTATGCTGGGAATAACCACTTGAAGAGGAACGGCGTCGCATTCATTGCCAAAAGGAACATTTCCAGATCTATTCTGAAATACAACGCTGTCAGCGATAGGGTAATATACATACGCCTCCAAGGAAGACCAGTTAATACAAGTATTGTTGACATTTACATATCAACCACTAATGCCAGAGAAGAAATTGAAGATTTTTTACCAACCTTTGCAGTCTCAAATTGATCAAACTTGCAATCAAGATGCATTGAAAATTACCGGTGATTGGAATGTGAAAGTTGGAAACAAAGAAGAATCAGTAGTTGGAAAATACGGCCTTGGTGACAGAAACGATGCGGGAGATCGCATGACAAAATTTTGTAAGACTAAGAATTTATTCATTGGAAATACCTTTTTCAACAACATAAACAGTGACTATACACGTGGATCTCACTGGATGGAATACGCAAGAATCAAATCTATGGAAAGAGATGATGGAAAAGCTCAGAACAAGCCCAGGGGCTGACTGTGGAAAAGACCATCAATTGCTCACATGCAAGTTCTAGCTGAAGCTGAAGAACCTTAAAACAAGTCCATGAGAGCCAAAGTGGTCTATACCTTGAATATATCCCACCTGACTTTAGAGACCATCTCAAGGATAGATTTAACGCATCAAACACTAATGACTGAAGACCAGACGTGATGTGGGATGACATCAAGGACATCATACATGAAGAAAGCAAAAGGTCATTAAGACTAAAATGGATTTCAGAAGAAACTCTGAACTTGCTCTTGAACGTAGAGTAACTAACGCGAAAGGAAGAAACAATGAAGTCAAAGAGCTGAGCAGAAGATTTCAAAGGGCAGTTTGAGAAGACAAAGTAAAGTATTATAATGACATGTGAAAGACCTGGAGATAGAAAACCAAAAGGGGAGAACATGCTTGGCATTTCTCAAGCTTAAAGAACTGAAGAAAAAATTGAAGCCTCGAGTTGCAATATCGAAGGATTCTTTGGGGAAAAAACTGAACAACGCAGAAAGCATCAAAACGAGATGGAAGGAATACACAGAGTCACTGTACCAAAAAGAATTGGTCGATGCTCAACCATTTCAGGAGGCAGCATATGATCAAGAACCGATGGCAATGAAGGAAGAAGTCCAAGCTGCACTGAAGGCATTGGTGAAAAACAAGGCTCCAGGAATTGACAGAATAGCAGTTGAAATGTTTCAACAAATGGACGCAATGCTGGAAGCACTCACTCGTCTATGCCAAGAAATTTGGAAGACAGCTACTTAGCCAACCAATTGAAAGAGATCCATATACTTGCCTATTCCAAAGAAAGGTGATCCAACAGAATGTGGAAATTATCGAACAATATCATTAATATCACATGTAAGTAAAACTATGCTAAAAGATAATTCAAAAGCAGTTGCAGCAGTACATTGACAGGGAACTGCCAGAAATTCAAGCTGGATTCAGAAGAGGATGTGGAACGAGGGATATCATTGCTGACATCAGATGGATTCTTGGCTAAAACCTGAGAACACCAGAAAGATGTTTACCTGTGTTTTATTGACTATGCAAAGGCATTCGAATGTATGGATCATAACAATTATGGATAACATTGCAAAGAATGGGAATTCTAGAACACTTAATTGTGCTCATGCAGAACCTATATATAGACCAAGAGGCAGTCGTTTGAACAGAACAAGGGGATACCGTGTGGTTTAAAATCAGGAAAGGTGTGTGTCAGGGTTGTATCCTTTCACCATACTTATTCAATCTCTATGCTGATCACATAATCCGAGAAGATGGACTGTACAAAAAAGAACATGGTATCAGGATTGGAAGAAGACTCATTAACAACCTTCGATATGAAGATGACAATAGCTTGCTGAAAGAGAAGAGGACTTGATGCACTTACTGATGAACATCAAAGACCACAGCCTTCAGGATGGATCACAACTCAGTATAAAACCTAGAAACCAAACCCGCTGTCGTCGAGTAGATTCCAACTCACAGTGACCCTACAGGACAGGGCAGAACTGCCCCATAGGGTTTCCAAGGAACGGCTGGTGGATTCGAACTGCCGACCTTTTGGTTAGCAGCTCTACGCTTAACCACTATGCCATCAGAACTCAACATAAAGAAAACAAAAATCCTCACAACTGGACCAATAAGCAACATTATGATAAACAGAGAAAAGACTGAAGTGGTTAAGGATTTCATTTTACTTGGATCCACAAGCAACAGAACTTGGAACCCACGGAAGCAGCAGTCAAGAAATCAAACGGCTCATTGCATTGGGCAAATCTGCTGCAAAAGACCTCTTTAAAGTGTTAAAAAACGAAGATGTTACTTTGAGGACTCAGGTGCACCTGACCCAAGCCATGGTATTTTCCATCATCTCATATACATGCGAAAGCTGGACAATGAATAAGGAAAACCAAAGAAGAATTGATGCATTTGAATTATGGTGTTAGCGTAGGATATTGACTATACCATGGACTAACAAAAGAACAAACAACAAATCTGTCTTAGAAGAAGTATAGCCAGAATGCTCCTTAGAAACAAGGATGGCGAGACTTCATCTCACTTACTTTGGCCATGTTATCAGGAGGGACCAGTCCCTGGAGAAGGACATCATGCTTGGTAAAGTAGGGGGTCAGTGAAAAAGAGGAAGACCCTCAACGGGATGGATTAACAAAGCAGCTGCAACAATGGGCTCAAGCATAACGATTGGGAGGATGGTGCAGGACCGGGCGGTGTTTCGTTCTGTTGTACTTAAGGTCAGTATGTGTCAGAACCCATTCGACAGCACCTAATAACAGCAATGTATTAAAATATATCTGTTAAGTTTATAAGTAATGTTTCCAACCTCTAAAGATACATAAAGATCAGATTTATAAAGATACACGTAATAAAAGGCAATAATAATGAAAACTGAAAAAAAAAAAAAAGAGGTATTCGACTAACATCAGGACTATCTTAGGAAGGAGCCGTGGGAACAGAACCCCATTCTAAGTCGGGAACCACCTGTGACGCTGAGAGTGCTCAAGCATCTGGTCACTTCTCTGTGCACTGTCACACACGAAAGGACATGCGTCCAGTGATACTCACCTAATTCTATTTCCCTCCCGATTTCCAAAATAGGCATTGGTTTGTCTTCTACAAAAAGCTCAGCAGAGGCACTTAACTCTGGCAGGGATTTCAGCAGTTGTCTGCGATGCTGTGAACACCAAGGCGATTGGGTAGGGTTTTCTGAGGGAAAAAGAGAAAAATCACCCAAAAAACCTAATGCTTAAAATGGATATTATAATTGTTGTTGTTGTGAGCCGTCGAGTTGAGGCCGACTGATAGCAACCCTATAGGACAGAACCCTACAGGACAGAACCCTACAGGACAGAACCCTGTAGGACAGAACC